AGGACAGATAGCGATCAAATCCATACTTGATCGAGTACGTCAATACTTGATCTACTTGATCTACTTGCTCTGCTGGCCGTAAACTCGGAGCAATTTCGAAAATTAGAGTGAAAGCTCTTATAGGAGACGAAGCAAAAGTTTTCACGCCAACGGGATGCAAACCCACGACATTTGGCTTTGAAGCGAGACTAGGCCACGGTGACACTGGCCAATGAGCGATCAGCAGCGCTTACGAGACAAAACCGGGATTTCGCAAACTTTGACCGCCCAGAACTCGTCTGGGAGGTCCCCGTAGCACTTTTAATCTGCATATTCGTAATCAGCATTCGAGGCTCTATCGATGTACCTAGGTCTCCATTCAAAGTTCCATGGGAAGTTCAAACCATTCCCTTGTTAGAGAAAAAGCAACGAGGGAGCTTCGAAGAGACATACTTCCAAGGCCGAATCCACTCGATCAATCAACTCGGTGAAGAAATCAACCGCATCATGCTGCTGACGGGTGTCCAACCTATCTGCTCCAGAAAACCGAAACGTTTCCCACATTTCGCGAGGGACGTAGAGGCGAGAACGAGTCATCGTCAGTCGAGCAAACACCGACTGAAGAGCTAACAGCAACTGACTGAAATCAGTACTATGAGAAACTTTTCAGGCATTCTAGAAAATATCAAACTTCTAATTAGAAATACACCAAATTTCTAGTAGAAAAGGACTTAAAGACACATCCCATGAAATGGAAATTATAGGTAGTAGGGTCACAATAAGAACTGCTGGGGTCAAAATAAGAAGTGCCGCTTCACGATGACGTGGCGACAGCCTGCTCTTCATCAGCTGTTGAAGGGTGCAAGCCAAAACACTGGTATGACGCCGCGCCAAATCCAATCTCCCCGCCTCCCCTCCTCTGACACGCCCCATCATCTACACTGAGCAGAACTCCGAAGTGGCACTGCCAAATGCACAAAAGACGACGAGTGAAAATTGACCAAGCAGTAGTCATGTGTTCATGAACATCTGAAACTAGTGCAGGTGGTATAGGTTTCCTGGACATCGCAAATTTCTAGGAGTTTGCCACGCACCTTTCCGGCACACTCTGAGTCTGCGCTCATGCTTTGCGTCAGATTTTCAAGCATAAGGCAGCATTTTGAGCGCTTCTAGCCAACGTGTCAAGAGTTTCAAGCGACTAGGAAAACATAGGTAACGACCTAGCGTCTTGGGCGTACGTCAGCTTTTTGAGCGACTGCCCACCAAAAG